CTCTTCCTCTACGCAACCCACCTCTTCGCCCCTCTCCTCGGGTCGCCCGACCCGGTGCCCTCTCCGTGGCCCCACCAATTCCACTCGATCCTCTTCATGAACAAAACCACCGATGGCTCCCTGCTAGTGATCGACCTCTGGTACGACTACCCCAACGGCCGTAACTTCAATATAATCCAGTACCAGTTGGGCAAGAAGCTGTACGACCTCGAATGGAACAACGGGACCTCCTATTTCTACACGCTGGACGACAACAAAGAGTGCCAGACCAAGCATGTCCCGGTTGGGATCTTGCGGCCCGATTGGCTCGACGGGGCGAATTATCTGGGTCGGGTGTATAAAGATGGGTTTTTGTGCAACGTGTGGGAGAAGGTCGACTTCATTTGGTATTATGAGGATGTTGCTACCAAGAGACCTGTTTACTGGGCTTTCTACACCGGTATATATGCATCCATTCTGTTTCTGTTTTGATTTGAACAGCTGAATTCTGGGTTTCTTTTGGTTGTGTTGATGTTATGAGATTATTATTTTTCCATTTTTTGATCGATTTTCTCTGGAACAAATTAATTCTGTTAGCAGCCAGTTGGTTTCTGCAATTATTGCAAGAGTAGGACGAAGAGAAGAGTAACTTTAGCAACCGCTGTTATGTGTTTTCTTTTAACTTAATTGCTCGTTGGTTAAATCGACTTCGAACGAGTTTTCTAAAGGACATTAATTGAATCCGAGCGCGCCTCCGCTTGATATCTTGTAGAACATAAGAGTGCTTTCCACTTCAGCTATTTGAAATGGCACTATGCATTGATCTAGAGCTGAACTACAACAAGCTTTTGCTTGCTGATTTCGATTTGAGTACCAAGTGGTTCAATTGCAAGGATTTATTGTTGTTGAGATGTCGAATGCTTTTGTTTCTCAGTGTTGCATTTTGACAACAATGGTGTGATTTTGCAGGGATGGTAGCACATGTGATGACATTTGAGGTTGGGAAAGTGCTTGATGACCTGAATTGGCAAGCTCCTGTCTACTGTTTTGAGGAGGCTGCAGAGAGAAAGAACATTGTTGCGTTTCTTGATCCGGCATCTGGTTTTTCGATGAGAGATGTCCGAAGTAGTGTTAATCCTATGGTGATTTAGCATGGTAGCTTGTGCTTTATAAACGATGTCCATCTTTGAGCTATGTTTTTGTGCTCTCAACTTCTGTTGCAAGAGCCTTGTGTTGATGATGTCATGTGCTATTTTGTTTCTTCCAAATCTATGTACGAGTCCGTTTTGCTGTAAATTTCATCGTTTTTGGAATAAAATGAACAAAAATAAAATGGTTGTGTATGTTTTGAAATTCATGACCCTACATTTTTGTGTCAAGAACTGAGGGTTACAAGCTAAAATTGATGAAGTTCTATGGCTGAATTTTGATGGGGGCAATGAAACTGTTGTCATAATATAATTAGTGTTGTTAAATTAAACGAGTCTGGCTCGGCTCGGCTCAAACTCGGCTCGGCTTAAACTCGGCTCGGCTCAAACTCGGCTCGTTAAGGCTCGAGCTCGGCTCGAGTTTGAGACCTTAACGAGCCGAGCTCGAGCTCATTTAAAGCTTGATTTATTAACGAGCCGAGCTCGGCTCAGCTCTATAAGGATCGTTAAAGCTCGAATATATATATATATTTTTTTTTTATAATTTTTAATAGTTCCGTTCGTTAAAACTTGAGATCTGCTTGATAAGGTTCGGGCTCGAGGCCTTAATGAGCCGAACTCGAGATCGAATTTTGGCTCGTTTTAATTAATGAGTCGAGCTCAGCTCGGCTCGGCTCGTTAAGAGCTCGAGCTCGTTAAGAGCTCTAGCTTCCTCAAGCTCTAGAGATAATGCAACTTATTACATGACACTTACAAATATTTGAAAATAATAACAATCTTTTTGTTATAAATCCTTTACTACATATATAATGCAAAATTTTCTAACTGTTATTTTTGTTGTCCTATACTCGTATCGTATGAGTCGCAATTTGTAATTTAGGTGTCACCGTCTGTTGATTTTAAATAATCCACATGAATTTTGACTTTTATCAAGTCTATTAGTCTTTAAAAAAAATTATGTGTCCATGTCTAGCGATTTTTTTAATAATAATCCATATGAAATTTTACTTTTACTAGTACAACACCCGTGTATTACACGGGTACTTGTTAAAGAATTATTCTTAAATTTTAAAAATAATGAGAAAACTATATTAAATTTAGTTTACTTTTTTACAAAAAAAATATATTACTATATCAGCTAATGTTACCGAACACCTTTATCATATAAGTTAGTTTTTCAGCTATAAGTCATAAGTCATAAACTATAAGCTTGGAAATTACATATAAACTATAAGCTAGCATATCAGTTATTTCAACTAGTTTTACACACAGTCTTAATGATATGTATTTCCCCTCTAGGGAAAACTCTGAGTTTTATTGCGCGAAGCGCCTTTGTTTATTTGAAAATATTTAATTTCCCCTCATATTTAAAAAAAAAAATAAAAAAAAAAATAAAAAAAAATAAAATTGCGTATATACTTGCATAAAGATTGCAAGGTACCAAGGGTGTAATTGTATATGAACTTGATTTAGTGTTGATTTATTTATTTATTTTTATCCTAGTTAATTTTAAAAAAGGTTATATGATTAGTTGTTAGTGGAAATATAATTTAATAGTAAAATAATATTTAAAATAAAATAATTAAGGTTGATCTGATGTAAAATTATGACAAAGATAATGTGAAATGATGGTTAGTCAAAATTATGTGAATAGATGAATATTGAATTAAAGTTGATATAATTTGCAATAATGATTGATTGATATTATTTAATTATATTGATATAATTGAAGATAATAAAGTTGAGTTAAAGTTTATTTAAAATAATTGACTTTTCTTTTGTTGGATCGATATCGTGATGTGAACCTGCATCCACTTACTACTTGTTTGCAGGACTGACAACAAAGAGTTCCACAACCAAGATGAGTTCTGCTTTCTTTGTGCCTCAAACGTGGATGAGTTGGGTAAATGTTTTGACTTTACTCTACTAACTAAAAGAACAGGTTTAGACATCACTCTCCATAGTTGATTGAACACAAATGCCTCATTGAAAAGCTGAATGTCTTGAAAACCTAATCCTTCATGGATTTTTCGAAGAGTCAACTTGTGCCAAGTTAACTACTGAACACCCTTCTGCCACTCACTCCCTTTACTCCACCAAAATTGAGCACAAACACTACAATCTCCTTACAAAGGTTCACTGGCAACACAAAACAAGACATTGGGAAAACATGTAAAGCATTAAGTACAACTTTAATTAGAATCTCCTTATCTGCAGTAGAGAGCCATTTGTTCTTCCAACTGAGAATTTTGTTTCTTACCACTGAGAGAATAAAACTAAAAGCTTCTCTTTTGGATTTGCCAATCTCCAGAAGTAAGCCCACACAACTTTTGAACTCGGATATATCCTTGTTGGGTGCTTTGGACTGGGTGACTTCAGACCTGATCATACTCGATCAACCAGCCTTGATTCGGTTTACCCGGACATCGACTCGACCGGGTCAACCTTTTCCTTTTATTTATTTTCATTTTTATGTTTGTTTAATATTTTCATTTTGAAAGTAAAAGCTATGCATATGGTAAATATTTACTGTAAGATACAATATTATTAACACATTGATGTACAAAATTTATATACAAAATATTTATTTATATTAATATTGTATGTATATTTTTTATATTAACACATGAATTTGGGCCTTGGGCCTCAAAGTTACCCAATTAGTTCTGCAATGCAAAGATTTTTTCATTAACTTCATAAAAAGGAAAATAAAAGAAAAGAAAGAAAAAAAATCCGAAACCGATTTTAAGCTTTCTCCCCAAACATTGATGATGGGTGGACAGAGTGAGGATTGAGCAGAGCAGAAGCCATGTGCAACGGCTCGGTTTCGAGTTCGGACTCGGATTCGGGCTCAAACGGGTGGGCAAAGGCCCGTGGTGTTGTGCTGAAAACCTTGGTCGTAGTCGGCGGCGCGTTGCTGCTGAAGCGTCTCACAAAGTCCACCACCCGCTGGGACCACACGCGCATCGTTTCAGACTCACTCGCCGGCGAGAAGGTAGCTTTTTTTTTTGTTTGTGTATGTAATTTCACTGAGCTGGCTGTTTATTCAGCGTGCCTTTCCGGTTTCCGCCACTGATAGTTTGAATTCTGAATTGGTAGTTTTCGAGGGATCAAGCAGCGAAGGACCCGGACAATTATTTCAATTTGAGGTGAAATTTTGTTATTCATCGAGTTTCTTTCATGGAAATTACACCTTAAGTGGTTTTTGGGAGAATTTATAATGCAGTGAGGTTGATTGCAGAATAGCTTCTGTAGCTTTCTATTAGTGTGATGATGATATGAGTGCGTGGTAATTGAATTAAAGCTAAAAGCTTTCGTATGATATTCATCTTCGTTTCATCGCGTTAGAAGATTATATATAACTTACGGATTTAAGTTCATGAAGAACCTGTCCATGATTCTTGTTTTCAATCACTTCTAATTTTTTATTTTTGTTTGATTGTGATTCCTCTTACTATTTTTCGGCTGAAATCAACACGGAATTCGTGATATTTTTTTCGACTCTCTGAAATGGGCAATTGATTGCTGTTGCCTATGTTTGAGAATATGTTTCAGTTATTCTTCTGTTTTGTTGGTTATGTAGTATCATTGCATTATCTGCATTTTCAGATGGCTTTCATGCCCAGCAGCAGAAATGGTGGATGGTTCAAGGGTTTTGTACTTCGAACAGGTACAATTTAGACTATTTAGTGAAATCGCCTTCAATATGTGTACAATGTTGCATAATGTTTCCCAATTTTAAGGATTTCTCAGTGGGGTTTTTTTGTGGACAGGCATTCTGGAGAACTCCTCGCAAACCATTTAGGCAGGTATTCAAGAGTTTAAACCCTGATCATTATTTATGCCCATTCTATAGTAGCAATTTATTTAATGATGCAGCAGTACATCTCTATTATTCATTCTCATTGTAATATGATGTTTAACCGTAATCAGGAAGTTATACTATCAAACGCCTGTGTTTCTTTTGTCTGTTCCTTCACATTGGGCTGTGTTAACATTTCCATTACAAGAATGTGAAGTTTCTCAATAACTCACTGCCAACAATCCTGCTTGTTACTGATTTTAACAGCACTCTTGTTGCAGAGATTTTTCATGGTAAAGCCTTGTTCGAAGGACATGAAATGTGATGTTGAGGTTCGTTCAAAATCTTGTTTTGCTTATTTAACTTCCTCTACTTATTATTGGTTAAAGATGTCAATATACTTTGGTTGAAATATTATTATTGTTACCATATGATTAGCCGTTATCTCTACTGAAGTTAATGATAAATCCCTGGCTCATTTGACAGCTTAGTACCTATGCAATCCGGGATTCAGAGGAATACAAGAACTTCTGCGATCGGTCAAAGGACCAAAGGCCACAGCCTGAAGAAGTAATTGGGGTAAGTTTGATTGAGAATACACGTTGACGATGAAACTGAATAACCTTATGCCCAAAAAACCTTTTTCTTCTCTTTTCTGTTTCTGTATGTGTGTGTGTAAAGACCTTGTCTTTGCTACCTTGCAGATCATTATTCAGAATCAAGCTCATTGTTATTTATGATCATTTCTCTCACATTTTTTACTAGTTTTTTAGTATCTCATCATTATCAGGTGTCATTATATATTTTATAAGGATATTGCAAGCTGAAATAGCAATGGATCAGATTTCGTAGTTATGATAAGGAGAAGAATGGGTTCGTATGATGAAAGGACATTCTATATTCCGAGTTGCAACATGATAACAAAACATTCCTTACAAATTCTTGTAAATAGTGTTGCTATGCACCATGGTTGTAGCTCTCTGGATTTTGTAGTGCGTTTGCCCTTGGGAAGCAGGCATTTCACTCTGAACCAAGGGTTAAAATTAAAACTGAAGTCTGACAAAGTTTAAAGTTGGAACAGTTTTGAGACAAGACTAAATTCTAAGGGTATAATTTGATATGAAAATGCAATTATGGAAGTCGATATGCTGGTTTTTCTTAGTATTAGTGATTTTATGTGATAATAAGTGATGGCACAGTAAGAAAGAGAGGATTTAGTATGTATCATATAAAACTGCCATATTGATTAGCTGATATATATATATATATATATATATATATTTATTTGGTGAATTGAATTGGATTCTATGGATGGTTGAAACACGGAAAATAAATGAAACTGCTTGTCACAAGAGAAATTCTACAGAGATTTCTCACAATCAAACAGCCAATGGCGCAAGGATTCTTTCTTGTTCTTACAATAAAGTGGAGGGAGATGTATGTAAAAATTGATCTTCTTCGTAAATTTTATTAGCCCAAGACTACTGAAAAACTGCGAATTTCTCGAATATTGGGCCAGCTCACATTACCTATGATTCATAACCTTGGTTTCCAGCTCCAAGTATATGAACGTAGGAGTTTATGATTTGGTGTCCTTATACTTGTAAATTCATTTGGTTTTGGTATGTCAGAAAATATCTTCTCAACCTTTGCTTCGAGTGGGCTGTGTCTTTTTATATTTAATATCAGCAAATCCCACAGGACATTGCGGAGCATTTGACCACCATTTACCTCAAACGATGTGATCGAGGCAAACGTTGTTTATATGAAGGCTCAACTCCTCCAGATGGATTTCCTAATTCATGGGTATGTCTGGTTGATACTTTTGGTCGCCTCCTATCAATATTTCCCTCCAATTTGCACAGTAAAAGAAAGTGTTCATTTTATGCTAACTGTATGTGCTTTACATATTGCAGAATGGGGCATCATTTTGTACATCGGAACTTACAGTTTTGAAGAACGGCGAAATACACACGTGGGACAGAGGCTATGATGAGAATGGGAATCAAGTTAGTTTCAACCCAATTACCCAAATTTTTTAAATTTCATTTCTGCTTCACTTGGTCTATAATTTTTTTTCCCTTTGTATATAGATCTGGGGAGGAAAGGATGGGCCTTACGAGTTTAAACCTGCTCCACAGTCGAGTTATAGCGATCCATTTTCGTCATTAACTTTTCCCCCGCAATTCATGGAGAAAAGGATAGATGGTTCGTTTGTTCTCCAAGAATGAGTACTTTTTATTGTTCATCCATCACATATGTACTATAGCGAAAACTTTGCAGACTCCTGAGGTGTAACATCTCTTAATCTTGCTTCCTTTTGCTCCCAATGTTGTACTGTAAATAATCTCGTGATTGTTGTTTGTTGAATTAGAAATTAGTAGGTGCAATGGGGTTCTTGAGTATTTAGTAATAATTATTACTGTACTAAATGTCGGCCTAAGCGCTAGGCGGCGCGTAGGCGTCACGACTTTTGACTAGGTGGTCATTGTAGGCGCTCCATCGCCTAGGCGGTACTTGCACTTAGGTACTCATAGTTATTATTATTTTTTATTTATTTATTTTTTAACAGAACTTACTTTTAAACAAATAAAAAATAATTTTAATTTTACACATGAAAGTTATATTAATTATATAATAAAAATATTAATAATTATTTCACAATTAATAGAATAATTTTACATGCATTATATTTTGCACCATCTTTGTATTCAACCATATTAATTAATATATTTTATGTAATATATCTTACAAATTATGCATAATGAAAAATATAAATAATTTATTAATATTTTCTCTACGCCGCTTAGACGCTAGCCCCAATCCACCACCTAACCAGTGCCAAGCGACTTTGTTTTTCGTGTATCGATGATAAGGTTTTGCGAGAACTGGTGTGCTAACAACCTTCCGTTCACAAGATAATTCCTGCTCGAACCCGCAATAAGGCCTAGTTCTAAGCACACGAAAGAGAGATGATCAAAAGATCGATTTTTCTTAATACTTAGATGATGGAAAACGAAGTTACAATGATAAAAATAAAAGAAAGCAAAGCCTGTCCAACTCCGACACTTAGAGCCTTATCTGGAATCCTAAAAACACCTAATTTATTCAATATCTAAACTAAGAATAATAATAGGAATGATTCATTATTTCTTGGGACATTATCACGAAAATGATATGTTATGTTGCAATTTGTATCACTATTGGGACATTATCACAAAAATGATTCATTATTTCTTGGGATTAATATCCTAAAAATAATACAAATTGCAATATAACGTACAGTTTTGATGAGTAATTTACCAAAAATGATACAAATTACAACATGACTTAAATAATATTTAAAAGACTGGCCGAGTTTTAGAATTCATAGTTTAAATAATCAAAATAGTCAATTATTTGGGATATATAAAAGTTAGTATATAATTTTGAAATTATAATTAATAATTTATGAGGGATGGACTGGTCGATAATTTATAGTGGATGAATGAAAAACTAGTTGATATATAAGCAATGTTCTAAAAAGATAATGTTTCCTTACTCACGGTGGACACATGTTAATATGCTCACAGCTTATGTGACATGCACACATTGGTAAAATCACCAATGTGTGCATGCCACATAAGACCTACTCCAATGGTACTGCAAAACCCAAATTTTACAGTAGAATTTGCTCCAACGGTACTGGAAAATTCATCGCAAAATGAGTTTATACTCCTCTCTCTCTCCATTTCGAGGCAAATTGCGTCTGCCGCAAATTTTTGCGTCCAATCTTTTTCTTTTTCATTTTAGTCCTTCTCTTTTTATTTATCTCTTCTTCTTCTTTTTTTTTTATTTTTTTTTTTATTTTAGCCCCATAACCATTAATTTAGCTCATATGATATTTAAAATTATGAATTATTTTTATATATTTTAAAATACTAAAAAAAATCTTTATTTCATAAAAATTAAATAGTAAAATATTTAAAATAATAAATATTATATTTATCATTTAATGTTATATATTTACAATAATAATATAAAATATACATATTATTTATGGTATTTTTATTTAACAAGAAAAAAAAATTGGAATAAATAACAACAACATTACTAATAACGATTGAAATAACATTAATACATAAAAATTCCAATTTAAAGAAAAATATTTAAATGAAACAAGAAGCATGCAGAAAAGACGTTGAACGTGCATTTGGAGTTCTTCAATCACGTTTTGGCATTGTAGCAAGACCAGTACGTTATTGGCGAAAAGAAGTGCTACATGATATCATAACCACATGTATAATCTTGCATAACATGATTGTCGAGGATGAACGTGACCTAAGTGCACCAATAGAAACTGAAATAGAAACGCCGCCACCGGAGGTCGAAATGGCAGTAAATGAAAGTACTCGATTTCAAGAATTTATCTCTCGGTACAAAAAAATTAGGAATAAAGATGACCATATTGCACTTCGGAATGCACTAATTGTCATTTCTGGGAAGAATTCGCCAACTCCGAGACTTGAAAGACTATTTATTTTTACGTGATTGTTGTAATTTTCTATTTTATCTTGTGTGTTGTAATTTTTAAATTTTTATCTTGTGTGTTGTAATTTCTAATTTTATCTTGTGCATTGTAATTTTTTTTTTTTATCTTGTGTGTTGTAATTTTTAATTTTTTTCATCTAGTAAATTACAATTTTTAATTTTATTTGTGTGCTCAAATTTTAATTTTTAATGAATACTTATTTCTCCGATTTTATTATGTATAATTAATTTTAGTTACATAAAATTCAAATTGAATTTAAAGTAATAGTGTGGTTTAATTTGTAAAGTTGTAAAATATGTGGGTAGTATTGAAAAGTAATAAAAGTTGGTGTAAAAGAGAATATTCTGAGAATATTCTTTTGAGTTTGAGAATGAGTTTGTCGGTTGGAGATGAATTACTGCCAGGGGCGTAGCCAGGAAAATAAAATACCCTGGGCTAATTGATTATAAAAATAATTTAAATTATGCGGTAAAATTTATAAAGAAAAAATAGAAAACAAGTTTTAAATAAAAAAAAATGCATATAAAATGCTTCATGTTCATTACACCTATTAAAAAGATAAAAAAAAAGTGTAACCTATTTAAGACGTGCCCTCCAATTCTTCATACTGTAAAACTCGTTAATTATTGAATTAATGTCGATTTTTGAAGTAAACTCTATTTCTGCTAAGAAGTCTTCTTCCATTTTATTCGAAGAAGAGTTTTGAGAAGTTTCATAGCTGAAAATGATTTGAAAATGATCGTTTGGTTGTTGCAGTAGAAACATGAAGCGTCAAAATGAGGTGAATCAATCTGTCAATTAAATGATAATGTGTTGCCTTTTCCTATCTTTTTTCCTATGAGGGCATCTATTTGAAAAATCAACCTAAAAATCAACCAACAAAGAATATCAAAAAAATATTTGAAATGTAGACTTTACAATACACTATTATTTTTTAGGCTTAATTGCTTATAAATGCATGACCTTTTCGAAAATTGCAATTTTATGCACCACTTTTAAACTTGGCAAAAATATGCACCACTTTCATTATTGTTTGCAAATTATGATCAGGGCCCAATTTTGGACTTTTATAATCGATGTGGCATTATTTTTTCAAACGTGTCAATTGTTATTCCAAATCTATATTCCACATTGCAATTGCGTATATAATACTGAGAATCTCATCTTCAATCGACGAGCTATCCGAAAATTCCCCAAATTTCCTAAAACCCTAAATTCGAACGGATTTTATGCACGAGGCAGTTCGAAATGCACAACGAAAAGCCAAACCGCCGGAAAATAAATCGTCCGGTGGAGGGCAGATCGGGATTTACATATACGAGTGCAAAACCTGCGGCAGGACTTTCCCCTCGTTTCAGAATTTGGGCGGCCACCGGGCGAGCCATAAGAAGTCCAATCGGAATTATTCCCTGACGACCGGAGAGGAAGGTGGATCGATTTTGTCTGCCGCCGCCGCCGCCGATGTTTCTCCCCCGCAATTGATCGGTAAGGGTTTGAATATAGAGAGCAAAGTGAAAATTCACGAGTGCTCTATCTGTGGATCTGAATTCAGGTCGAGGAAGGCGCAGGGTGGCCACATGAGAAAGCGCAGGGCCGCGAGCAACAAAGGCAACGCTAACAAAAGCGCCAATGACTGCGAGTCGTCTCTCGATGAAGTAGGCGAGAGAGCAGGGAACGTGGCGGCTGTCGATTTCGATCTTCCCCAAATTTCCTCAAACCCTAAATTGAAGTTAAAGTTAATCGGTATTTCCACGTGTATTCGGTTTTTTCAAGTTAAAGTGAGATAATTGACACGTCTGAAAAAATAACGCCACATCGATTAGAAAAGCCCGAAATTGGGCCCTGGTCATAAATTTGCAAACAATAATGAAAGTGGTACATATTTTTGCCAAGTTTAAAAGTGGTGCATAAAATTGCAATTTTCGAAAAGGTCATGCATTTATATACAATTAAGCCTATTTTTTATATTTTCAATCTGGAAATGACAAAAGGTCAAGTGGAATGATAGCTCGTTGTTGTTGATTTTTGAAGAGTATATTATCCATTTTATTTATTAGGACACATAATTACAAGTTGGTGAATAAAAGTTGTCTTATGCACAACACTTAAAATATATATATATATATATTTAGTTTGACAAATATTTAGCTCAACCCATTACATTAAAGGATTGAGCATATGGTGTAACAAATATTTGGGCTCGATCCAATTATATTAAAGGATGGAGCATATTGTATTGACAAATATTTGGGCTCAACGCAATTAAAGGATGGGCTCAACCCAATGTTGTGCCCTAAATTTGAATTTGCTGAAAAAAAAAAAAAATCTTCTTCTCCCCAAACTCCAGGCCACTTTTTCATCAAATCAAAATCAATAAAACGAAAATTCAGCATATTTTACTCCTTAAAGCCCTAATTATTAATAATTATAAAAGCATTTATAAAAAAAAGAAAAAAAGTAGAACCTAAGAAACAGAGATGAAGTTTCTCGAGCGGAGTAGACGACGAGTTGAAATTGAGGGCCGTCGGACTGGCTTCTCGCGGTCACGAGCGGACGCCGGAAGGGCTTCTCGCGAGTCGGCGGTTGCGGCTGAAATTGAGGGGAAAAGGGCTTCGTTTCTCCGTTCGACCCTCTGTTTGGGACGGACTCCGACGAGCAAGAAGGGCAACGACCAACGAGAGATCTCAGGTGAAGTCGGGAAGAAAAAAAAATTACTCTCCTTTCCTTCGAATTTTAGAATTCTGACTGTGAGAATTGTGAAGAACGAAGATGTTCTCTCCATCTTTTGGGCTACTTAAAATTTGTGGGCTAATTAAAATTTTTGGGCCGGGCTAACTGGGCTAAATTCTTATATTGGGCTACTTAATTTTATTTTTTTCTTTTTATTTTATGAAGTACCCTGGGCTGGAGC